TAAAGCGCATAGAGCCTGCTGTTGAGTGGGGATGTGCGCTATACAAATGCTATCTATTATCTATTATCTATTATTATTTATCACATCAGAACTACCACAAACCACATGAAAGGAAGTCTGACAGTTGTAGAAGAAAATCCAATAGCTACCTTGATAGAGTCAGGGGTACACATGAGCATCCCCTGGAACACCTTGGAAAGATCTCTCAGGTTGAAGGTGTAGTGTGACTTGGCTGGAGTGGGTAGCAGCTGGGTCTGGATGGTGTTGTACATGCTGATGCAGGTGGTCACCATCTGGTCACAGTGCTCATTCACAGACGGAATTTGCTCTGAATACAAGGTGATGAGAATAGTTTAGTTTACCTTAACTTTAGTAAGAGTTTTACGGCACTTGCAGGCGAAATGAGAGGTACTGTAAGAGACTAATATACACAAAACAGAAAGAGGAGACATAAGGACTAGAGATGTTTGATAGGAAATAAGGAGCGAAGCTCACCACTGCACCCACCAACTAGCCGCACGACAAGAATAGACAATGCTTAAATCAACTCTTTCTAAAAAATGTATTTGTTTTTCTGAATAACGAAAAGTACATCAACACAATAATGGTCGGTCTGGACGGTGTTGTACATGCTGATGGTGACCATCTGTTCACAGTATTTGGACATCAACGAAATTTGCTCTGAACCCAAGACAACAGGAACAGGAACTGTTCAGATCAACTCTTTCTACAAAGTTTGTTTGTTTGAATAACAAGAAGCACATCAACACAGTAGGCCTAATGGTTATTTAAAACATGGAAAAAGTATGACAACAAGACAGAACCAAAAGAATAGAAAGAAAAGAAGTAGGATCTTCAAATGGTGCATTCTAACTACTCCCTCTCTACACTGCAACAACAGTAAGGGAAAAGAACCTTCAATTTTTACTTCATGGTCTTAGCTCTGAGATAAAAAATTAAGTCAGTAACATTAACATCAATAATTGCAAACAACAGCAACAACAACAATGACCAGAAAAATGAAGAAGAAGTATTTGTATTTCCATGACAATATCAACAACTTCTGAGATATAGCATAAGGCTGAAAAAAAAAAGGATAAAGTATTGTATATTTTATGAAAATAAGACAAACTCACTGAGCCAGGAGTGAAGAATGTTGGAGAAGATACGATGTTTGCTCGTGTCTTCCATCTCTGTGAAGGCCACGAAGTTAAAGTGTCGGAGCAGACGAGCGGTCACAGGATTACGACCTCCACCTGGGGGACCCATGGCACACACAAAGTTCACATCCACCAGGTTCCGGAACTCTCCTGGAAAAAGGAAATGGAAATAGTTCAGAGAAAACCTTTTTAACACTTGGTTCAAGTAGTAGATAGAACATGTCAGTTACAAATTTTGCAGTTCTATACATTAGTTTTTTATCTTACATTAGACTTATGAAATCTTTACACAGAGAGAAAGAGAGAGAGAGAGAGAGAGAGAAAGACAGACACAGAGACGGAGAAAGACATAGAAAGACAGAAAAAGAGAAGGGCAGAGATACAGACAACAAGATAAAGAAGGGGAGAAAGAGAGAGAGAAAGAGAGAGAGAGAGAGAGAGAGAGAGAGAGAGAGAGAGAGAGAGAGAGAGAGAGAGAGAAAGAGAGAGAGAGAGAGAGAAAGAGGGGAGAGGTTGGAGAGTTAGACAGGATAGGTATGCGTGTGTGTGTGTGTGTGTTTGTATTTACCACCATAACCCCTTAGAAAACACTTATTGTTGCAGTAACTCCCGCATAAACAGTTGTGAGTCACATAATATTCTGCCAATACACGTGGACAAGAGCTCAGATACTGTATTTAACTTCAGAGTGGAAAGATATTTGTTTTAGTAAGTTGTTTACAGTGCTCGCAACTGCATAAGGTGATATGAACGAGCCCGATCCATTAAACATTTTCAGTTAAGTATGGATTAATTTTGAATTTTGCATGGGTGCCGGCTAAAGCCTAATCTTATAGATTTTGGACCACCACGGTATCTTTAACGTGCGTGATTTGCATAAGGGACCTCCGAGATTTTTCGCCCTTATCTGAGAAGGCTACGTGTTAGATCTTACTTATCCTAAGATCAGGGGTGTGGTTGAAAGACAGCAGTAAGAAGGCGTCATAGAGTAGCATTAGAAAGGCTGCAGAAAGAGTCAGGAGCCCAAAGGAGGGGGCAAAAAGGGGGGAGGGGGGCATAAATTAGGAGACAAAGACAGATGACAGAAAATAATCAGAGAGCAGGAAAGGAGGTGAAAGGAGAAAATTTTAGAGGAACATTTTCTGTCCCAGTGAGATTTCGAACCTGGAACCTATTAAATGAGAATCGAACACCGTAACCTCTAAACCATGAGAGCCCCCAGAGAGGAGAGATAGAATACATCAAAGATCAAAGTAACTTTCACATGGATACCTTTTCAACAAAAATCCCAACTCACCAATGGCTTTGCGGTCATACCAGCCCTTGAAGTCCATGTATTGCCGAATGAGCTCAATGGGGGGCTGGGCTCCATACACCTCCAGAGCTGGCATGTTCAGGTCATCAATGAAGAAGATGAGATATTTTCCCAGAGGAGGGCCAAACACACCCTTACGTCTGTTGGTAAAAGAGGTATAGATTAACTGGGGTTACAATTTACTCATTCAATCCCAAGAAAAGTTGAGAGGAAAGTCAAGCTGTAGGGGAGAGGGGAGAGGGGAGGTGGAGGAATGGTTAGAATAAGGGTGAAAAGAGAAAAGAGGAGGGGGGAGACCATATTATACAAACAAACATCCTTCTCAGAAGATGATTTCGAATCATTCACCTATTTCCACATAATAGATACTGCAAAAATCTTCGGCTCTACAGGTTTTTACAGGCTCGCAAAAACTTCCCTCATTATTATACTTCTTCCATATCTTGAAACCATTATAACCACACAAACAAATTTAACTTTCAAAGCTGATTGAAAGCTGAGATAGAAGTTTTGAAAATAAAATAAGACTTCAATAGAGAAAAAATATAATTCTGAACATCATGGCACTTTTTCCTTTTGATTTATAAGTAAGCAAACCTCTTGTCCAGCTTTCCATCAATAAGATCCTGGGTTTGGTTGGCACTGGTCTTGGCCGAGAAGACGATAAACTCAGGGACATATTCTTTGCCCATTCCTCTGGACAGCTTATCAGCGATGGTCAGTGTCTTGCCAGTACCAGTAGGACCAACGGACAAAACCTGGCATAAACAACAGTTAGACTCTTATTACTTTTTCACTTGGTGGTAAATAAAATCACTGCATAAATATGTGTTACACAATTTTATGCAAATAAAATGTTATCATTATAAAAACTATAACTTGACCTGGCTAGACAGAATGCTATCAATGTATATAGATTACTTTTTGTCAAACAGATGAGACTACAAAAAAATATCTTACACTCATTACTACTAATGCCACTGGCAATACTATTATATATATGTATATAACATTCTTTTTACTGATGCTTTCAAAGGGGTAAATCAAATATAGTCTTGCTGCTGCTCTCAAAAAAAAGGAAAAAAAGGGGGAAAAAGAAGAAGAAAAAGAAAATGTATCCAGTAATTTTAATCTAAAAAAAGGAAACCAAAACTGACTGTCTTCTTGTTTGATGCGAGCATCTCCAGGATCTTTGCACTTCTGATGGTGTCAATGGTGGGCACAATGATGTCAGAGTATTTCGTCTCCGGAGAGATCTGTACTTCCTGCATGCCCGTCATCCAGTTTCTCCACTGTATCTTCTGTGAAGTTGCCAACAGCAGCAGAAGGAAAGGGTTAACAAAGCGTGGTAAATTGTACTGATATCTGAATGAAGTTCAAAGCAATAGATCATCACCCTTCTGAATAGAAAGCGTTGGTTCCTTTCATGGACAGGATTGGGGTAAGCATCTCATCTGAACTCAAATTAATGATCTCAGGAATATAATCTTAAAAAAGAAGACATACTAATAACTAACAGTCTCATTTGTCAAAGAACCAAAATACTACTTTGAAAAAGAATTGATAACAAACAAACATTTTAAAAATCTGATCAAAAATGTTATTCATTCTTTTTTCCCGATATCAATCCATCAGAGACCAACAAAGCTCTAGGCTTCTGTGACAGGGAATGGGTACATGCCAACAGTTATAGTCATATATTTAAAACAGCTAAGCCGAATGCATGCATTCCACAAACAGAATTATCAGAATCTCCATCTTTAACCAGAGCGGAAAACCATTCAAAAAGACTTTTTTTCTTATTCCTTACCAGCAATGTTGCACAATATCTTACACAAGAATGATGAAACAAGAAATATGAAAAGTAAAGATGAAATTTTTCTTCCACATTTTGTTTACCTTGTCGACCTCATCCTCATCTTCCTCCAAGTTGGTTGGCTCGGGGCTGCAGATGCCACCGTCATCGAGCATGTAGTCATACACCTGGCCACTCTCGGGGAAAGGGAGGGAAATCTGCAGACAGAGTTCAGTATATAAACCATTATTAGCAATTCAAGAGACACCCATTCTAATCATATTCGAGATATAAAAATTTGTAAAATGAATATTCAAGTATATGCCTGGTCTTTATCTATTCCTATAGAAAATGGGAACATTTTTATATTGGTGTGTTCATGTGTCAGCAGAGCATAAAGAGTGAGAAAGAGACAAAGAGGGGAGAGAGAGACAGAGAGAAAAAGACAGAGAGAGAGAGAGAGAGAGAGAGAGAGAGAGAGAGAGAGAGAGAAAGGCAAATAGAATATAAGACACAAAGTCACACTAAAAATCAAGGAGGAAGAGAAGGTGAAGACGACATTTTCACTCCTTGATGAAAGTCTTAATGGTAACCCTAATGATTGTATCACTAGCTCAACATTGTAGGAGGGGAGGTGGAAGGGAAGGCAGACAGGGGAGTTGCTGGAAGCATAGTGAGATCTCATGAATATTCAAACTCCTGACAGTGGTATCTCCTCTTTAAGACAGTAGGGAATTAAAAGAAATCACAAAAAGATACAAAGACTTGTACGTTCTGACAGTACACTGAGATACCCTTGTGAGAAATAAGCTGCTTTCTATACAGCTGTAGGGGCTGAGACAGTAAAAATAATCGTGATTTAACACAGTTATAAGGAATTTGAGGGACTTTTGAAATGACACTCACATTTGCCTCCTTGATCTTGGTCCTCATCCACTCAGAGAACTTGGTACGACTGTCGTTGTCGCAAGTGGCTCCCACTGACCAGATGAGGGAGAAGATGAACCATGGCTCAATCAGTTCCTCCACGCGCTTCAGGCGGTCTTCTGGGATGGGTTGCTCACCCTGGACAACCAATCAAAGTAAGTGTCAGTTACACATGATTATACAGTATAAAAACGCTGAACCCTTAAAATTCACTTTCAATTTTTTAGGAGACCTGGGGTATCCAAAAATAAACAAATAAATAGGGCAATACACAAACCAACATCTTTTTTCCCCTGAGGGGGGGGGGGGTAGTGGGCACTGGGTATTAAAAAAAAGCACCATCTATTTATGTATTTTAGATTTGATTTTATGAAACAATTTTCAGTCATTAAAAGGTTACAAATGTTGCCTTTCTATTTTAAGGTAGACAGTGCAATACTGAATAAAAGTTCTAGTTTGATTAGAGGTCAAAAATGACTCTCTTCATCCATAAGAGGAGTAAGACCCCCCCCCCCCACCCAATATTTTAGCAAAACATAAAGGTACAATTGAATAACTAGACCAGTTCACTACATACAGAAAAATGCAACAAGAATCAGAGACAGTCTGAAGTGACAAATTTTGATCACAACTGAAAACCTCACTATATCCTTATGAAAACAATAAATCATAGAGTTTCTATAGGTGAGAAAAAGAAATACCTAGCGAAAGAAATTCTTAACACAAAAGTCAGCAAACAAAACTGACAAACTTACTGAAACTATACAATGTGTAATATAACCATTCAAAGAATTAACACACACCTCAAATGTTGTGAACATCTCCTTCAGTGGAATCGATAGCAATCAATTAATCAAATCATATAAATAAAAACCAGATTTTCAGGTCTCTACTATAAACAAGCCTACACTTGAAAGGAGAAGTGACAGAGAAATGGTACACATCACAGGTGATTCAGCGTCTGAATTAGATTCGATAGACAAAAAGCTCAAACTAAAAATACAAAACAAAAGGGTATCAAACTGTAGTTCAATGAGAGGACGAGGTCATGAAAATAATTCCCAAAACTTAAAGAAGTACTCATCAATTTTAACTGAAACTGTGAAAGCATAACAATAATTGACTTGTTTGTGATATTGAAGTGACGGCAACAGAAAGCCTTACTCAGATGTTTCCTCCAGGTACAACAACTGTTCCTCCTTGAAAGTATAAGATTGAGGGAAATGAGTTTTGAATTAAAAATAAGGAGCTATAATATGACTTTTAAAGAAAGAGAAAGACAAGTAAGAGGTGTGACCAGAGTGGGGATTCTTTCAAACCTCCATTCAAAATAGGTTAAGAATAACATTTTTTTCATTACATGTGCTCATGTCTGCCTAACAAGCACAGTCGTCACTTTGATCATAGTTCAATAACATAGAAGAGAAAAGGTATTCGTGTGTACCCTGTGTCACTGTAAAATTGGTCGCTTTCAAGCACAAAGGGGCTATCCCGATGAATGTTGTTTTGAGAAAATCGAAGTTAAAGTTCTTGGATCCTTATTCAGTCTCCTTAAAAAGGAAGGGGAAATTTCTCTATAACTAAACAAATTATATACACACCAATGAAACCAAACTTCTCCTATAAGTAGGTCAATGCCCACTTTTGGTGTAGGTCAAGATTTCAGGAAAACCCTAAAATCTGGGTTAGTCCGTTTGTCTTTAAAAGCGACCAATTGGTAGTAGATCTAAAAGGAGCGATGAGAAAATAGGTATCATATGACATGGCATATTGCCCAATTTTTTGATTTACAGGATGCATGAATTGTAACTCGCATGTATCTTTGTGGAAAAATCAAATCTTTTTTTTCCTTTTTTTCAACAGGTACATACAACATATTTTTGACAGAGCTCTTGTCTGACCAGCTAGACAATTCAAACAGTAACAAGTTATGTAGGACAGGCAATATAATCATAAACATGAATAACATTCACACGCTTCAAACACAGCTTACCGTTTTACGATGGCCGAGAGGGTTCTACAATGACACGGCACAATAAAAGGGGAGTTCAGACATATTCATGCCACAACAGCAAGCAATGAGTTGGTGGTGAGCAGTCAAATGCATCAGCAGCACACAGCACGCAAAAAAGGAAAACAATGAGTGCACACAGTATTAGAGCTAATCTACAACATATGATGAAAAAACAATCGAATAAAAGGCCAAAATAATCGTCGAATTTTGGTGTTTTAGCCATGTACAATAATTGGCCTTCCTTGAGAATATACTACTGATACTTAGACTTCATACAATTCAGTTTTATTGAAGATAATACACTACAAGATGGGTCATCCTCCATTTGAGATAAGCAAAAATGTCCTCATTGTACCGCTGGAAAATTCCATATCACGACTGCATGTCTGATAAATCATTTGCCACTAACTCGACAAGGCCATTGTATCGTGCTTTTTTAGAGTGAAGCATCTTTCAAAGAGAAGGAGTAAAGACTGTTCTGAGAGAACATCATTTTGAGAGAGTGTTTGCTGATTGTTGAGATCACAGTTTTAGACAGTAAATCAACTTGTAGCATACTATCTTTTGTTTTACTTGGAACAGGTACACAAAAAAAGAAAGAAAAAAGTATGTCATGGGTGCAGTTCTAAAACACAATTCAGCAAAAGAAAACAGTGCAAAATCATTTATAACCACAGACCAAAACTACAGCTACAGAGCTACAAATAATACTTCAATATATCTTTCCAAAACTAACATTCATTACCGTGATGCAGGTGTGGAAGACACATCTATTAAATCTATGACTGCAGATGACATTCAATCAAGACTTACAACAACGCATTCAAAGAATGATCGACTAAAAGGAAAAGCATGAAGGTATGAAAAGCCTGAAAGGAAAGAATAAGAGCAGACAGAAGAGCTAAACATCAAGAATACCTGATATACCTCTCAAAAATTGAACTTTTTGAGAAAATTGATTTTTTTAAAAACACTAGTATGTTTTTCTTGGTGTAAACACTTGTACTAAACATGTCATCAAGAGATAATTTCCCACCATCATGAGGAAACTTGAAGACCCTTAGCCTGTTCAGGCCAATTATAACCCTTTTAGCAGTTGAGCTGAACCAAGATATCCTATAAAAACATTAAACAATCAGACGTCTTGATCAGTGTGTGAATTTTCTTATTCTTCTAAGTGGAAGTCTGGAAGGGTTGTTTATTGGAAAGAAGATTTTGTCATTGCATGACTTCAGAGTTATATTTTCATGCTGCAAACTATTTTCAAGCTTTATTTCATCTAAACACTTTAAACCTTTTGTCACTTATAATCCAGTTGAAAAAGAGGTCAAATCCATGACATGAAAGTTCAAAGAAAAAATGTCTGTCTTGTCCTTACAAAGACAACAAAGATGAGGAACACAACTCACAAGAAATGCTTACTATAGTCAATGCAGACAAAAGAAAATGTATTCAACTGTTCACGACATAAAGGAAAAAGAAACCAATAACCTTCACATTATTGGGACATTTAATTGACGATGGAAACCTCTCAAATTAAAGAAAGATTTCCTGAGCATACTAGACTACATACTGACTGGTAAATGTAAGATTCCACCATATGCCATAATGAAAAGTGACATACAACAGAGTCTTTTTTATTTATGATTTTTGGATTGAGCAAACAATCCGAAAACATTCCCCAATTAACACATCAATTCCAAGCTAAAGATTAAAGACTACATTCCATGAAATGTCCTTTTCCTTAAAACTTTTAAAGAATACAGCACCAACAATCCTTTCCCCCCCCCGCCCCACCCCCCTTTTTTCCCCTTAATCCACCTGACTTTTAGAAAAGATCCACGATAGCACTACTCCTTCTCACAACGACAATAATTCCAACACAAACAATTCCTTAACCCCAGCACTACTGCAACTACAGTTAGACAGCACAACAAACACTATAAATGGCGGGTCACATCAAACAAAGCATGTTATCAACACACAAGCGCACACGAGTAGGAGTTTGGATCACTGTACCTCCTTTGGCATGAAGGGCTCAAAGAAACATTCCAGCATCTTGAGGAGAGAGAAGACGAGAGCACCGTCCACAGTCTCCACTATCTCCTTCAAGTCACTGCGCAGGAACTTGATGGCTGGCTGAAACACACAAAATAAGAGAAATGATTAATATAGATATAGAAAGAAGGAAAGAAAGAAAGAAAGAAAGAAAGAAAGAAAGAAAGAAAGAAAGAAATTCCACTTTATTGATCACGATGAAGAAATTTGGGACAGACAGACAGACAGACGGACGGACGGACGGACGGACAGACAGACGGACGGACAGACAGACAGACAGACAG